TGTACGGGTAGGGATGTTTAGCCACCTTCTTATCGGTCGCCGAAAGGCCGAATCAGGTGGCCGATCGCCAATCGGTTACCTGGTTCGGCTCATCTATATTAGTTATCATTAATAAACCATCAAAGGTTAATTAACTGATTAAGAAGTATTACCTAGCACGGTAAGGCTTTACAGGGCCCATAAGGTCCAGGGCCCACGAATGTCAGTATAAATAGCTCAGGTCAAAAGGTAACGTCACTGTTCATTAATTACCCTAGATTTTTGTGCCCGTGCTGACTTGAGCGTTGGAGTGCCTTTTGCAGGTACAAACCCTTTCACTCATATCGGATTGGAGCGTTCGTTCGGCCTTCAGAACTCAGGAAGACTATCGGTGTATCCTTATACAGGTACACCATGCATAATACTTTGTCCCTGAAGTTGATATACGAAACTGAAAGAGTTAGTCATTAGTGATATATACCTTGTACCAAAGGAATATTCTATCGGTTGGAAGACCATTTGTAAACCATTTTATATGATTAATGCTGCCAGGGGAATATAGCTTCACATTCTCACCATGCATTCCAACCTTATATTTCCACCCGTTTTTGGAGATATCCTTGATCATCTCAGTGCCTTCCTTTTGTGATACCAATTGAATAGGGCCACTAATACCAACTTTCACATTGTCAAAGTGGGGACCATAGTTCTATTTCAATAAGGAGAACAATAATATTAGTTGCATAACCAATATTGATAATGACACAATTAGAGTAATGCCTTCATGCAAAGTGCAGTTGTTACTTACAGCTAAACCAACAGTGCCACTAACTAGAGATATCTCATTTTTCCCATGGTTCATTTTGATGCTTCCCTCAAAAGTGAAAGAATATTGCCCATATCGAGCATATTGAGAACCTGTGAGGCAGATCAATAAAAGAAAGGTCATAAAACTATAACGTAGTATCTTTTTTAAATATAAAAATTGGAATTGGGGTTTGAAATTGAAAATTTCTACTATGGACTTACCAATATGTGCACCATTAACAAACACGTGAAGTATATGCCCTTTGGTTTTCACTCTTAGCTTAATGCGACAAAATGGGGTCACCTTTTGTGACATCAACGCTGAAATGATAGTTTTCTCATACAAATTAGTGGGCGATAAGTAATACAAACCTCAATTAAAATTTGAAGGTAACAGAGAAATTATTATACCTGGTGATGTACCACAAGTAATCAGTTGTACCATTTGTGATCAACTTTTGATCCAAAAGCTGAGGAGAAGACATAGCAACAGATCCAAGGGGTTGGCCAATTTTCGTTTGTGTGTACAAAGCCTCAGGCCTCCAATCCCAATTCAATGTGTTTGAATCATCATTGTTTTTGACCATTATGGATGTTTGAGCATTGACCTAATTTCAAATTATTATTTAGTTAGTTATTTCGTTAGTACTAGTGATATATATATTAAAAAACTCCACTTTGTTTCTAATTAGTTATTTCATTTTTCTTGTTCCGCACAAAAAAAAAAAAAAAAAAAAAAAGTATTCAGCAATTATTACTAATGAAAATCATTCTCACCTTTGCAGTCTTGTAAGCTTCTGTGTACAGACCATGCTGGAACAGTGTATTGAGTGTTTTGGAAGTTAATATTGGCGTCCATTGATGAATTGGCATTTCCAAGAAAGCAAACTTCTTTTCCAGCATAACTGTAAATTGTGGCCTATAAAAATAATTCATAGTTGGAGATCAATTACTATGAATTGCTTCGAATAGAAAATAATGTAATCTATAATATATGAAAGTATAAATCATAATAGATTTAGATGAAAAGAAAAACTTACAGTCATCAAGTTTCCATATTCAACATTTCTAGAGGAACCCATAGTCAAGACTTGTTCCATTGATCTCAGAAGCTCATGAAGTCGTTTCAAATGTCCCCTTTTGGGTTGATTCAAATTACCTTATATAATAAATAAAATATATATATTACATGCCAAATTACTGAAATAAAACATTATCTTTAGTAATGAGATAAAAAAAAACTGTCTTTTTTCCTTAAAAGTAAAAAAAAAAAAAAAAAAAAAAAAAAAAAAAAAAAGACATAACCATGAATTATGTTTCTTTACCATATATTCCAAAGGAGCATCATAATCGTACGAAGTCGTGATATATGGTCCGCCAGAAGTTCGTCCAAAATTGGTCCCTCCATGATACTATTATAAAAAGAACAGAAAGCACAATTTTAATTATATAGACAGTATATAATGTACTAACCGTACATCGCACCCGGGCTCCTAGCCCGGATTAGTGTTGCAAATAAGTAATCCCGGGCACGCGGTGCATGACGTCAGCCCGACATTTGAGCGAATCATACCTGATTCCGAGGATCTCGTCCCAGACCAGATCCGCCCTTCAATTATATCATATCATATCATGATATATCTTATCTCAAGCCCAAAGGCCCAAGACAACCCTAACTCACACAAAGGTATGTGCATTACATATATACGAGACTCATACTCATACAAACTCAAACTTTAGCATCGGAGTCTCTTTTGCAGGTACCTCCCCCATCTCGGAGCACCAATACACCCAGCGAAGGAGGCTCACCAATCTTACCCGGCGGATCATCTCTACAGCAGATTTCCGGTAAGAACATTTGGCGCCCACCGTGGGGCCGATCAGACCAAGCTCTTATCGGCTACCCGCACGGTCCGTACCAGGAACCGTATCAGACGAGCACCCAAGCAAAATGAGCAACGAACATACAGCTTCAGGAGACTCAACCCGCGTCACCAACCTGACAATCCTAAAGAGCACAACTGTCCACGCTCAAACCCAATGGCGGTACCCCGATCGTCCCTCCGACTCACCCCTCGGCCCCGGCGAGGCAGTCCGGGACCTGGAAGATCGGGAAGCAGGGCCTAGCCCCCCAAACCAATTAGTAAGCACAATTGCGGGCGGCTTCGCAGGGGGCGGCGCCAGCAGCTCGTCCCGGAAAGAACACCTACGCAAAGTCAACCGCGTACACCCCGCCACGCATACTGTGCGCCGAGACTCGCCCACCATATCTTTCACCAACGACGACTACGTCGGAATCAGTCCAAATCAGGACGACCCCATGGTCGTGACAGTAACTTTAGCCAATTGGGAAGTTCGCAGGACCCTGGTCGACCAGGGAAGCTCGGCCGATGTCCTATACTGGCCAACATTCCTCAGGTTAGACATTCCCCACTCTCTCGTACAACCTCACACCGAACCTTTGGTCGGTTTTGCAGGAGCAACCATCCACCCCAGAGGACGAGTGGACCTATTGACGACCTTCGGAACACTGCCGGCCTCCCGGCAAATCCTGGTTCGGTACCTACTGGTGGAGGCCAACTCTACCTATAACACCATCATCGGAAGGTCAACCCTAAACCAACTCGGGGCGGTAGTGTCCACC